TGAGCCCTTGAAATGTGGCTTTTATGCAAAATTTTTATAACATCGTGTACAGACAACGCATTAATAAAATAGGACTTTGTACCAATATAATGATAACTGGGAAATATAACGTGATACAAATAATACTGAAAGGGAAGATAGAACAATGTCCTGGAAGGAAGAACAGTGTCCGGATTTAGTAATATCAGAATATTGACGGGTATGGACGTTCAAAACTTAACAAAAGCTGCACATACTAGAAAATATTTTGATGTAGTAATAGCAAATCTCTAGTAATGAAGTGCGCAAGAAGAAAAGGAAGAAGTTCGTCTAATTATGCAAAAACTATTAAGTCTTGTTTATAATCTTTGTTTACAGTCTTTTTAGTTCACGTTAAAAAGTTCTATTAAATAAATGAACGTGTAAATATATTATAGTATAATACAAAAACTATATCCGATACATTTCATTTATTGATAAGTTCATTTACTGAAAGTTGAATAATTATTTATCCTAAAGAAAGTATAGTCATGTGCAAGATTGGGTATCTTAACTGTTAAAGATAATAATAAGATACGACAAACAATTTTGTTATACTTTTATATGATCCCAAAAGAAACAAAACACGAAATAAAAAAAGAAAATATTTACTATAGGATCAGATTTTGTTTAATTTTTTTTCCAATCTGTCGTAGAAGATTAGCAAACACACAATAGATTTTTAAATATTTTTGTCTAATTGTAGTTCTAAATTTAGTAGAACACATTGTTATCACCAAGGCTAATACTGCTAACATTTCAAGGATTATTAAACAGAACCACTGTATTTTTTTATATTATGTATATTATATATATATATATATATATATATATATATATATATATATATATATATATATATATATATATATATATATATATATATAAGGATCACTCAGACGAGTGGTGGGTTCTTATATCGGTCTCTAGGTGGAGAAATAAAAGACAAAGTTGATAGGCTACTTTATCTATTTTGAAGATGTTTCGCTTTCGAGTTTTGAAAGCATCATCAGTTCATCTAAAAAATTATTACAATATGAGAACCACACAATCATGGAAACGATGTTAATTGTTACCTTAAAAAGATATGTAGCAGTCAATGTTATTAACAAATATGTGAATGAAACTAAGTAAATGGACATAGTACGCTGATCTTGTATAAACAGTTAAGCAACTAACAACATATATGAACTTGTACAAAAATTAGCACAGCAATTGACCATGTGGTCCAAAATAAATTCAATGTTATTTATGTTAATAAGTGAGAAAGAACCAAGAAAATCATAAATAACCTCCAACTATTTAATGGATATTAAACTTTGATTTTAACTTTAGGTAGCATTATAAGTAATATTAATAAAATTCTACAAAATAGTGAATATGAAGTTACCGATCAAAGCCTTATGGATGTCGCCGTGAAAATGGCGTTAGATGAAACAGGAACGAACTAACCGCAAAAAGACAGCCAACCTTGAGGTCAAAATTACTTTTGACAGATCAACAAGGTGTAAATACCAACCCAGAATTTTGGGCGGTTAATTTAATTTTTTTATTTTATAACTGAGTCTGGATGACTACCAGGTTGTAAAGGACAACAACAGTGAAAAAAGTCGGTAGTGTACACACAACTCCCCTCACTAACCGGCCCAAATTTACAAACCGGAGATTTTCATTCAAACTCATAATAATGTAATGACGTTAATCATGTGGCAAGTTAAATAGCTAGGTGGTTAACGATATTATAATTTCCATACAGCCCAAGGTTCAATATACTTGGAGCTGTGATTTGTAAAGGATTCTATGAATCAATTACAATGTTTGTATTATTTTATATATAATTTAAAACTCTAATCAAAGAATTTAGTGTAATGAAATGCAATATGGGTTGCATATGTAATAGTAAAATTAAGTAAAGAAATTAAGTTATTTAATTGATATATTTATTTATTTTATTTCTATTTATGTATGTAAATTATTTTATGAAAAGTGGAAAAAAGTTCAACTAGTACACCTAATATGACATTGTATCCAATATATATTGGATTGACGGTCGTACTCCTTTTTCCGATATATATATATATATATATATATATATATATATATATATATATATATATATATATATATATGGCAACTCTAATGCCACAAATTGGTTGCATTGCTCCTGTAGTGATCCTTTCCCAAGTTAATATGCTCCTCTTCTAACTTGGCTGCACCGTACTCAAGACGACCAATAGTCAGAAATACGTATATACGGTTGCCTTCCATCGATATACCATTATTGGTTTTTTGTTTTGCGAGACATGCCATTACTTTTTACTTTTATTATTCACTCGCATTACCCTTATCCATTTGTTTTAAACGTTTTAACGTTTGGCATTCATTTCCCCAGGTAGTTGTAGCTTCCTCCGTGGTTAGTTTTGGTTGTTGCCCTGAAAACCATCAGACTCTTCTAACTCTAATGCGACAAATTGATTGCATTGCTCCTGTAGTGATCCTTTCCCTGAAGTTAATATGCTCCTCTTCTATATATATATATATATATATATATATATATATATATATATATATATATATATATATATATATATATATATAAATATATATATATATATATATATATATATGTATATGTAAAAAATTGTAGGTAATAGACTACATCCTTACAGTCTTTGTGTTATATTCACCGATTTCTCTCTAACGTAAAACACAATTCCAGTGTGTAATTTCTAAAAATTATAAATCAAAGATTGTGTGATTCTATTTTTTATAGTTAATAATAAAATATACCAAACACCATAATTTTTTTACACTATTAAGAATTACTGTCTTTAATCTAGTCAGCTCAAGGTAAATTATTAAGCTTTTACTCAGCAAGGTACTGTTGAAAATTTGTTAGTAACAGCCATAATAATTGCACATAGCTTGCACGCAAGTCTTTTTATGGGAAAATCCTTCTACATATAAACTATTCAACAGCGACTAATGGAAACGTCCAACTTGTGAGAGGAATGTTTGTCACTTAACACTTTATCAGACTTTATCAGACCAGCAGCCTGGTCTTTAAGAAATGCCGACTACAGTTTGCTGCTGATATTTCTTGTTTTTGCTTTAATGAAAATTAAAAAATGTTTTAGTATTTAATGGATAACATAAAAAAAAGTAAACAGCAAACAGTAAACAAATTTAAAATACAAAAAAATAGTTAATACTAATAGTTAGTTTATAATAGTTAATGTGAGTAATAGCTTTTAAATCTATTGCTACACATGGGTTTTCAAATAAGTTACAATAAGTGCAATAAGTACAACCATTGATAACATTATTTATGAAATGGCTACTTAGAATAGGTGAAGGACTAGACACCATAGGGCTACCAAAATTTGTTTATTAAAGAAACCATTAAATATAAAAGCATTAGAAACAAAAACAAAGTTATTAAGTGTTTTAAAATGTAACAAGTCAATAGTATTATGTTGTGAAATCACATTCAGAAATCATTGTTGAAAATGATTAGATCAAGAATTGCACTTTTTTTATTTCTTTGATTAAAAGCTATGTAGATTATTTAGTTTGGCACTTCATAATCACGAAATTTATAAAACAGTTAACATTTTCAACAATCATAATGTTTATGCCATCATATAGTTTAAGTTAATTTAATGCATTTTTTCGATACGGCAATGTAACAGTCAGTGTTTATGCAGATACATTTCCTATGCACAGATTATAACATGGCACGAATAAACCAGTCCAGAAAAGAATAGCAAAGCAAAAGCACATCCATAATCACAAGATTCAAAAACGAGACAGGCGAAGAACGAAGCGAAACGGCGGTCTCGACGCCTACCGTCATATATTCATGTATTGTGTTAATTTAAATAAAATAAAATTCTTTTTACACAGGGGTTTTTGACTATTTACCAGCAGCACATTCGAAGTGCAAATCAAGTAACATTCATATAACCAACATATACAATTCACAGTTGAGGAAAAGATGCAAGGCTCTACCATTCATAAACATAAGAATTGTAAGAACTACAGATAGTGTGTTAAAAATTAGATGGTTCATGAAACCCATGTGTAGCAATAAATTTTTTAAACTATTACTCGCATCATCCAACAAGATAAAAATAAACCTTATAACAGGATTAAAAGAAAGTGTTTTGACGATTCCTCATCCACATTACCGATGCTCCCTACCATGATGCTCCTATTGATAGGATTTTCGAAAATCACATCAATAGGATCATTCAAAGATATCAATCAACCACTTAATCTCAGCCCAAAGACTCAGATTCTCATCATACGAAAGTTTTTTTCCTTACATCAAAGGTGTTACTGACAAAATTGACAAAAATTTTAAATCAAGCAATCACTCTAGAACCATAGCCTCCATGCGCTTCTATAAACCAAAAATTATCCGAGAAGCCATAGAAATTGAAAAAAGACCAAATTGTCTCAACAAAAGGGAACGGTATACTGTTACCTTCGATATAAAGACTGGCTCTTCCCGCCAATCAAAATCCCACTGTCAGAAATGTTCACGCCAACCCCCGCCATAACCCCTATGTCAACTTCTACCCAAATTACATTATTATCGACACTATAAATTAACCGTCCTCTGTTCAGAGTAGGTACCTACATTGGTTAGTAAAAACAAATTATACAATATAAACTCTTGTCCAATTGCGTTAAAGAGTTCTAATAGTTGATGGGATCGAATTCAATCACAAAAAAGACAAAAGGCAAGAAAAATAAATTTAAAAGCTAATAAAAGTGTAAAAAGTTTTAACAAAATTAATTTAAAGAGCAGGTAATACATACCTAGACTAAAATAAAATAAAAAGATAATTTATCTTATCAGCTTATTAGCTCGTAAAAATATTATAATATAATAAATACGTAACACTCCCAAAATCTTACGTTATTGTATTCTAGATTATAATTTTAAATGGCAGTAGTTGTTTATTTCCCAAAAAATGACCTATTCAGAACTACAGGTAGTGCTTGAAGTTGTTTTAGAAGAACTAAATAGTGATAATGTACAACAAAAATGCAAAATTATGGAAAAATGTTTTGATCACACATTTGATTTAATATTAACTGAAAAATTCGTCATAGATGGAATTGATCCGGAGAAGTTTAAGAATGGTGTGCAGTTTTTACTTGAAAACAAAGAAGAAACTAAAGAATGGAGCAATGTTAACAAAATAATTTACAAGGGACTGGTACTTATTTACAATAACAGTAAGCAAAAAGAAAGGTTTTGTTTTTTAAACAAAATTTTGAAGTATTTTTATAAAAAATTCGTCCAAAAACTCATTGAAATACAACAACCATCTCACATTATTTCTTTGGAAGACTTTATGAATCTGGTAAGAAATATGTTACGTTTTGTGAAATTAGAAGTTTTAGCTCAACGTTTCTGCTCAAAAACTATTGACTTTGGTGATATAAAAGAAGCTATGGAAGAAGTTTATGAGTGTATAAGATACCCTAAAATTCTCAGAGAAGATTGCTACCAAATCATAAGGAATAAATTAGAAACACAAAAAGTAACCTTTTTGGGATTTAAAGTAGAGCAGAGTCACGAAAAAAACGGAGAATGTAGTGACTACTATAGGCTCAATATTGACGTAGCAGAAAAAAATCACATCTACACTCATAAATTTTTTATTAAGTATCTACCAAAAAATATAGAAGAACTATATATGGAAATTACTATGTCCTTTGCAAAAGAACAGAAATTTTATACATCTTTTATTCCTATGCTTGAAAAGCTGGGATTTAGCAATATTACCGATTTTGCACCAAAATGTTACTTCTCTTGCAAAAACTTGTTTCTGGTTTTAGAAGACCTATCTGTAAAAGGCTATAAGAACTTATCTTTGAATAAACCGTGGACTCAACATCAATTATCTCCAATTTTAAAACAGCTGTCCAAACTTCATTCTTGTACTATATTATTTGAACAAAAAATGTCTCAGCTACTTGGTTATGAAATTAAAATCAACGACTACTTTTCTGATATGGTCTCTGAAAGTGCTATTAGTAGAGACATAAAATCAGCTCCCATGAGTCATGCTTTCATAGCTGGAAGTCATCATTTAGTTCAAAAATATTGCAATGTTCTTAATATCAAAAATTCCAACCAAATTACAGAAATAGCTCTAAAGAAACTACAGTCAAAATTTGATGTACTTCAACCATCGACGAAATACAGAAATATTATTAATCACGGTGACCTCTGGTCAAATAATATTATGTTTGCTGAAAATTCTTCTGAGTGTATTTTGATAGATTTTGCTTCAATAAGATGGTGTCCGCCAGCTTGTGACTTCTTAATTCTGCTTATGATAAACACAGACAAAATAACTAGAGAACATTACTCACTAGTTCTCTTTAATCAATATTACCTGAGCACACAATCTGTATTAAATCAACACCACATCAACAGTAAGTCTGCGATTTCTCGTCATGAGTATCTAGATTTTTTTAAGGAGTACAAAATATCGGTTGCTTCAATTGCTTCAGGTTATCTGCAGGTGAAACTCCTGGTGGAAGTTAATGATCCAACTGGAGGTGATCAAAGTCTTCAGGATCACTTTGTTAATCCAGAAAGCAGACGTAGGGTGTTGGATAAGATGTGGGATCAGATGAAAGGTAATTACAGACTGGAAGAAATTATTTGCGAAATTATAGATATTCTATCAATTAGTTGCAATGAAGTTATTTAAGTTTGGTTTTAAATTTTAGCATTTTCTGTAAGTGTAATTTTAAGAATAAATAAATTGTTGTTGGTGACTATCTGATTGCGTATTTAAAGGAGTCCTATACATTAACATCTTATTAAGCTCGTTGCCTATATTTAAGAGTAGCTTTTATCTGTATTATGTTTTGTACAATTATTGTTACCTATACAAAAAATAGACTATTTACCGCTTACCGAGTTTCTTACTATGACAGTATCTATTACTTAACTCATAACAAGGAAAAACTTTATCGGTAAATATAAGCTGGATTTATCTATATGACTGAATGTTGACATAAATCAGTGCCACTCTTAAACTTTCCCTAATATAATTCTTTTGAATTTTATACTTTTTGTTTATTTCCATTGTCTACCTTTCATAATCAGTTCAATTTCTACGAAATGCCTTCATAGTATTTTTTTTATTAGATTACAATTTAATATTGCCGTAGTTGGTTTTACAATTATCGTTTATAAAAGTTTTTGTTTCATTGTTTTTGTCACAGTATACCACTCGCTTTCTTGAATTTGCTTTATCTTTTTAAGATAAAGCAAATTTTTTATTTCAAAATTACGATCTTCTTTGTTATTTGAACTTTATCTTTTAATAATTATTTAACATATAATATTTTAAAGAAGTTCTGAAACTGTCTTCTTGTGGCATGTCGAAGTTAAATATAGAACTTATGTCTACGTTAAATATGGCCACTTTATATGAGAATGACCCACAATTTATTTTAATGGAAATCACCTTTTTAACTAACGTTTGACGATTTTATTTTTACTTCGAAAATCGTTTTCAAAAAAAAGATTATGTTAAAATGTTTGTAAAATGTATAACCAACAAGTTGTTAATAGGTTATGTTTTTGAAAATTAATGATTGGCTAACTTGGACTCGACCCTATAGGTAGTAGTCCTGTTTTGGGAAAAAAATTTTTTAAAGTGGTGGTCTTTTTAATCCCAGAATATCAAATTACGTCTCGTCAGTTCTTTTTTTAAGTGTCTGTTTGTGTTTGGTTTGAGTAGATATATTTGTGTATTGTGTGTTGTTTATGTACTTCCAATGTACACTATGCTCAGTATACCAGGCAAGTTTGTAGGTCTGAAATTTATCGAAATCTGTATCTTTGATGTATGTTTTATGCTCGTTTATGCTGATACTTAGTGGTCTTGCAGTTTTTCTCACGTAGAAATTGTTACATTTACGGGGGATTTTATAGATGCAGTTCTTTGTTCTTTCTTGTGTATTTCTTAGTTTGGTTAAAAACAGGATAGATATCAGTGTGTTGGTTGCTTTGAATGTTGTTGTACTTATTTCCTATCCTTTTCAATTTATCTGATAAGCCCTTTATATATGGAATTTTGATTAAATAAACGGCAGATATCGAGCACAGTTTTACTATCTAAACCTTGCCCAAGTACTTTTGCTACATAGAGTATCTTCAGGGGCATCTAAAATAAGCCAACAAACGTTTTTTTTAATTGAAGAAATTAATTAACTTCCATAAAAAACTCTCTGGTTGATAAAAGTTTTTATGTAATTACCGTTTTAGATTTACTTTGTAAAATTTTGACTATCCAACAATAATAGAATGTTATAAACATACAATTGTACATCACAGTACACTACACAAGGACAAACACTTTAAAATTTTAAAATAGGCGAAGCTGCATTATGGTCCGAAACCGGAAAGAGAATGACTCCTGGTCTTAACGGAAATGTTAAGGTGATATGTGACATATGACAGCTATGATGGACAGTCAAAATCATGGAGATGTGATCTGCATATTTAAAAATTCTATGAAACTAAGCCTTGACCAAAGGTCTAACTGACACTAATAGGAAGCCAACTGATGAAATATGAAATTATATAGAATAATTTAAGTAGATAGCATATTCCAAATCTCACACTCAAACCTGTCTATAATAATAAGGGTGTTAGTTTGAGAGCAACTGAAGTCGACGTAAAATACGAATGTAAGACATAGACTAAACAATCTATTAGACAGTGGGTGGTTGACTACAATAAAGGGTCTACCAAGCACTATCAATACTGCGGAAAAGAAGAAATCTGACTATGTAATTAAAATACTAAAAATTAAAAATCAAAATTAAAAGCAAATTATATAACGAGTAGTGGATAATGAATTTTGAGGAGGTGAAACAATCTGCAGAAATGTATCCAAGAAAGTGCTCTAAAATACCCTAAGCTAAGTACTTCCTGACTTCAATAGTACTCTGGTAAATACACCTAGGTTAATGAAAAGACCCTGAAAAAACTTTTCAGTTTACGCTTTTTTAAGTCTAAACACAATTAGCAATAGTAGACCCATTGAAATAGGCTTGTCTGGATACCATGATTTAACATTTTAGGGAAAACTAGCGTGTGTCAAAAGCCATATAATTAATTCACAGAGTCTGGACGGGTTTGATCACAAGGCAAAGGACTAGGGTACATATCCAAAGAATGGAGGCTCATAAGGGTGGCTTGTATACCAAAACTTTGTTAAATTAGACAGGAATATTTGGAACGTTTTATTTTAAAATCGGGGGTTTATTTTAATTAAAATTTAGGATCGTTTTTATTCAACACATAATACGCAGACATATGTTCTAACTTAAGTGCGGATCTGGAAAAATCTAATGAAGTATATTTAATTAATATCTAAATGCATTACTATTTAACTGGGAATAAGCCACAATTAAAGGTTAAAAGACGTTTATTGATGTTTCAATTTCCACTTCGGAAATCGTTCTCAAAATACAAACAGCAAATTAAACAAATTATGTTTCTTGTTACTTAGTGAAAAATTCTTCTAATAATTTAATTTTATCTGACTCATTTATATTGACAATTCAGACATACATTAAGCATTTTAAAGTAGACGACTTTAAAATGATATTACCAATATATGTAGTTGAGTTGCGCTCCTGGGACGACTTTACTTATAAGATAGTTCATTCGATTACATGAAATGAACTTTAACTTCAGAATAGCCGCCAGAAAAAATTATAGCATGTAATTCATCTTTAAAAAGATAAAGAGATGCCATGATGGCAGTACAATTCTCCTGTTAGTGATTCCATAGTAAATTATGAGGGAAAATCTAGGAAAAAAACCTCATAATACTATCCCGATGTGGTTTACCTTCAATAAACACCAAACTCTGATTTTATATGTTTGTTATTTAAAAAACATAAATGATGTATCCTCTATATGTTACTGACTTACTAATACTGGTATTTTCGTATTAATAACTTCCTCTTTCAATAAAGGTAACCAGATCCTACTACATTCTGCCGAGGAATTTGCGACACAATTGGTCTCATTTAGCATAATTAGAGCCGCTTCTTTGATTTTTTTTACCATTGAAAACTATGTTCATTATCCCATGCGTGTTTGCATATTTGAGATTTATCAAATTCTCTATTTTTAATATAAGATTGATGTTCACTTATTCTAACATCTAATGGCCTTGATGTTTCACCTAAATAAAACTGATCGTGTTCACAAGGTATTTTATAAATGCAATTCTTTTTCCTTTCTTATTCATTGTTAGGTTTGGTTTTGGACAAAATAGATCTCAACGTGTTTGTTGTTTTAAATGTTGTTGAAATGTTGAATTTATTTCCTATCCTTTTAAGTTTTTCTGATAATCCTATTATGTACGGTATTGTTATTTTCCTCGTATTATTCCTTGTGTATGCTGTAGGATCTCGTTCTAAGTTGTTCTGTTCTATTCGATGGATTGTTGAAAGTTCAATATTTATAAACGATAAAGGATAATCATTTTTTAATATAACAGATGTTAACAAATGTTTCTAATCCAAGAACGAATTTTCGTTAGAACAAGTAATTTTGGCTCTATCGTATAGGTATTTAATGATTTTCTTTTTAATTTTAATATTATGATTTGATTTAAAATTTAAATATCTATTGGTGTGTGTTGTATATATCTATTGTGGCTTATTTCCAGTTAAATAGTAATTAATTAAAAATTCCACAGAAAATAGCTTTAGAACAATATCTAAATGCAATTGCACAGTCAGTCTTTCTAACACGCAATTCAGATTGTTCTTCAAAAATAAAATGCCATAAAATTAAACCATCTCGTTTTTCATTTCCATTTGCCAATAATCTAAACGATACTATTATTATGACTACACCCATCCATAATAATACCGTGATTTTACTTAAAATCATTCTTAATACCATAGAAAGTACCTAATAGCCACAATAAAATGAAATATCCTTTGTAATACGAAACAGAATAATGTATTGTTAGGTTTCTTTGAGAGCAGGAAATTGTTACTCTTTTTTGCTTTACCTTTCTCAGTGCGGGAATAATCGATTGGAACTAAATACAAGAATCGATTATGACTACTATAAGAAATTGGTTACCAATTTTTTACTAAAAGTCCTGTTTTTATTGTTCTTTTGCTTATAATACCGATCTGTGACGGGAAAATTGTGAAAATAAGATCAAATTCTAAGATAATATAAGATAAAAACAAACATATATTGGTTTTTGTTCCTAAAAAAGATAAAGAGCAAATTTATCACAAATAATAGTGACAGATCAAGTTTCAAATATATTATTTTATGATTAGAAAGGAAAATAATTACTATTTTAATGCGAATAAGCCACAATAGAAGGTTAAAGTACGTTTATTCACGTTTCAACTTACACTTCGGAAATCGTTCTCGAAATAAAAACATTAATTTTCGTAGTTAATAATAATTACTAATCTTCGTTTTTGTTTGTATTTTGAGAACGATTTCCGAGGTGGAAAGTGAAACTTCAATAAACTTAAAACAGTAATTACATTAAAATGCCACAAGCAAATAGCTTTAGAACAATATTTACAAAAGTAATTACGCTATTATAAAAACTGTTAGCTTATAGTTATTCACATTGAAAGACAACATAAACCCAAGTAAAAGAGGAAATAATAACTTACGGATGCCAAAAAGCGAAAAAAA